AGCCGCCATGTTCGCCACGCCGTCGCCGTCGTCATCGTCCTCGTTGTCGTCCTTCCCTCTCTCCTTCGCCCCTTCCACCTCCCGCGGACCACCTTCTTCCATCTACCGAGGACCACCGCGCGGGATTCGCGATTTTCGCGTCACTCGAGTGTGATCTCCCAGCAGAGCGAGCCTCTTCGCGTTTTAACTTCTTCTTTTTTTTTTTATGCGAACTTTCGTAGGGTCCTTCCCTCAGTCGTTCCTTTACAGAAAGTACGCTTTAATCTTTAGGAACGGAACCGTCGGTATCTCGGCGAGCTCGTAGAACGTCATCGAAATTAATTGGCGCGTCTCGCAGTTCTCGTTGCACAAATCGTAACATTCTACGCGTATTTCAGAGGACATGTACTTCTCGTACGCGACAAAATTTTCATAATAACGTAAAAGAATACTAAATTACGGCGGAATTGACGTCCATTATGTTAATGGACGTCAGGGCCGAAAGGGTTAAGCTCGCCAACTGTGGGACATTCTACGTTCGGTAGCTCAAGGTGTCCTTTCTCAAACAATAGTGTAAACCGCCTCGTAACCGCCACTCTCGTTAAGAAAAATAAAAAACGCCCGTCCTCTCACCCTTTTCCCGTCTTCTCTCTCTCTCTCTCTCTCCCTCCCCCTCTCTTTCTCTCTCTCTCTCCCCCTCTCCATTTTCCGTCACTCCTTTGCGCGCCTACCCAGGCATGCAGATAATGTCGGGAAGAGGGACTACCTCTACGGTTACTGTTCCACCGGTAGCCCCTCGTGGTACGAAACTCTTAGGGTTGTGAAAAAGGCCGGTGGGGAGCGAAGAAAAGGCGCGGCGAGGCACGGGAGCAAAGAGTTCGCTGGGAGGAGACAATGCCGAAGAAGAAGAAGACGAAGAAGACGGAGGGTCGATTCAGTGCTCTTCAGATTAGAGCCTCTCTCGCTATTGTTTTCCACGTGTCTCTTTCTCCCCCCCCCCCTCTCTCTCTCTCTCTCCGCTCTCGTGAAAACTTGTCTCCTTAGAACGCGTTCGCAGGTCCGAATGGCCGACACTTTGCGCGCCAAACCTACAAATCTAATTCGTTGCAAATCGACCGGGAGCGAATGAGGTAGCCACGACTAGGAAAACAAATATATGTATAAAGGAGAGATTTCGTCGGTCTCTGGAAACTAAAATGAAGTCGACGAATTAACGTCGAAAGTGAAATTAAAGGATTAACCCTGTCATGCTCTGCCGTTCGCGAAATTAAGATCCGCTCTTTTGATTTGCCACGCGGAATTATTGACGCAATTGTCACTTGAGAAGGACCCACAAACCATGGGTAGTCGAGACGTTGTGGGTTTAAACATAAAAACTTGCCAGACATGGTCGAGTAGTCTTCCGAGGTTTTAAAGGATTGACGTTGAGCGTTGACCCGGCGAGTCGGAGGGTCGAGTAAAAATCACGAATTAAAATGGAAACTCGCGAATTGTACGCGAGACCGAGATACGGGGAATGGAACCGATAACGTACTGCCAGCCTGATTTGCAGGATCACGCGGGGAATAGGTTTCTCAAGGGGAATGTCTGCAGGAGGCCCTTCCAGGTCTTCCCGGAAGCGGCTCTAAACAGACGATGAATAATTCGCTCGGCCGTTAAAACGGCAATCAATCGGGCGGGCGTAACGTTGCACTCTTATAAATTGCCTTTATTATGCCGCCGCTATTGTTGTCCGTGCTCGAATTCATCTGGTAATGACTATAGGTACGCGTGCCTCATTGCTGGATGTCATTTGCGTTTAATTGCGTCCACCGTTATCGTCGCTATCGATCGTCACACGAGAGGGGGAGGAGGGGGGTCAGGTGCATTAGTCGCAGCGAGCTCCTCGTGTCTTTCTATTTACTTTCGCCAGATGCATCCCCCATGTGCAATATTCCTAAGCCCGGCTAGATGATTTACGAACGTTCATTTCGCGACCCGCTCACTCGGATTAGGTCCCCCGTGTTCGGATCCGTCGCCTTTTCGCGGCGCGTACGTCGGATTTTTTTCTCGTTACAGCCCGCCTTCGGCCGCCGTCGACGATTTTCGTTATACATAACTTCGAGGATCTAAATTTACAGGGGATCGAACCCCCGAGCCCCCGAGGATCCAAAAGGGAACCTACGGAGAGCCGGGGATCCAAATTTATACGAGATATCACCGCGAGAGACGTCGCGGTGAGCTGCGAGACGCGAGAATTTCGCCGAATTTCGAAACTGACGCGTGCAATAAATGCAGACGCGCCGCGCATAATTAATGTCGTCTTTCCTCAACGTCAACGCTTGACGTCGCGCCGCCGTAGGGTCTTACATCCGCCACACACGTGTCTTCTTTACACGCACTGGACGTAATGGAAAAAAAAAAGAAAGGGAAAAAAAGGGAATCGATACGGCCGTGTCGTTTCCCTGTCTCACGGTGCTTATCACCGAGTTACATCGCGCTACCGCGAGCTACGCTTGTGTTTTTAACAGCGCGATCAATACCGC